AACGTAGAAGGATTTCTCGACTGCGCTGACAGCTTGTGGAAACTCCAATGCAAAGTCTAGGGCATTTTGTTTGACGGACATGTTTGCCACGAACGACGATGCGGAGACTCCAAACGTGACTCGAGTCATGCGGTAGTCTTGAAGTAGTTGTTCTGGACTATGTTCCAAACAAATCTGTGAAGATCACGGTCTTGGTGGGCGAGCTGTATTGCACGATACATTTTGCTCACATCAGTGGTGAGTGCGATCCGGTGAAGACGAAAACGGAGTAGAACGTCAATCAGCGAAGAATGCACGGTAGGTCCAACCAACAGGAGGTCATTCAGGGAGACTCCAGATGAAGACTTCGCTGAGGCATCAAACACAGCCCGAATCTTGGTTGTAGTACTGGACTCCCTCTTGGTGCATGGGAAGATAGAACACGTCTTTCTCGGACTTCTCAAGGTCAGCAGTAGGCACAGGCTCGGCATGACCAAGATCAAAATATTCTTGCATTACGCCGTCGAATGTAGAAAACTCATTTTTTTGAATGTAACGAACGCTCGAGAGAGAGAAACCTTCTGACCGCTTGTGAACGAGATTCGCCCAGTGATGGGTGGGTTAGGTTTCCGGGGAAGAGGGACGATGAATTGGCCGCTTTCATTACGACGATGACTTTCTTTGAAGTGAGACTCTCCTCGGGGAAGAATTCGACGTTGCTTCCTGGACCTTCTTCAATTTCCCAAAATTTGCGGAGGAGGTCGTCTCCAGTGACGAGAGATGCATGATGCGTAGGAATTTGATGTGGGTGACCTTTAGATTCCACCAAACCCGCCAAAACCCAACCAAATTTTGTTTCGAAGGCTGTAGGAGAGCCAGGAGGTCCTGTCCGCCGGCCTTGCAGCAATCATGCAACGAAGAGGTCAACTCCGAGCAGTAGGTCGATTCTACCGGGACGTCCAAAGTCAGGATCGGCTAGTGGAATGTCGGAGAGATGCTTCCACGAGAGCTGCGGGGTGACAGGCTTGACGGGCAAATCACATGTCACGCGAGGGACGACAATTGCCGAGACGTGGGCCTTGTCAGCAGGCGAGTTCACGGGTGATACCGCGAACTAAACAATCGAGTGAGACGGAGTAGCATGAGAAAGACCAGCAACACCAGAGATCTTCAAATTCTGATGTGTATGAGGAAACTCCATCAGGTGGGTCAGTCGTTCGGAGATGAATGAGGCAGATGAAGCTGAGTCAAGGAGTGCTCGAACCTTCGTGACTGATCCATTAAGGGCATGGACGAGTACCCAGCATGTCATCAAGAGCGAATCAGAGGCGAGACCAGTTGCGAGATTTGATGTGACTGGTTTGACAGGAGGAGCAGGAGGTGGAGTGGGTTGAGGGGCCTTTGATTCCACATGCAAGAGCGAGTGATGTGGTTTCTGGCATGTTCGACAACGGTGGAGTGACTTGCATTCCCGAACGAAGTGACCTGGCTTGAGGCAGTTGAGACAGTAGTTGTTGTCTTTCAATGTCGATAGTATCTTCTCGTGAGGGAGGGACTTGAAGGTTGTGCATGCGTAGAGTGGGTGTTTACTCTTTGGACACAAAATGCAATTGGTGGAAGAATCTGTCGTGTTGGTAGTGAAGGCAGTAACTGGCTTAGAAGGGCGATGGCTTCTTCTGTCTGGAATTCCACTTCGGGGAGAACCCTTGTGATTGGAGACGGATGCCTCTGAAGCTTGAGCTCAAAGATTCAGGAATTCCATCAACTTGGAGAAGTGAGGAACGTCAGTCGATTCTTGACTGTGTCGCTGCCATTCGAACATGGTGTTCGTATCCAATTTGAGCTCCAAGAGGGAGGTGATGAATGGACCAGGGGGATCATAGCCCATGGCCTTGAGGGCACGAAGATGTTGTTGAGCTGTATCATGTAGACGACGTAATTCCTTGCCAGTACCATCCTTGAGGGCGGGCGCTTCTGCTATCATACGAACATGTGTTTGATGGATGAGGCGTGGACGGTCGAAGCGAGCTTGGAGGCATTCCACAGCTTCTGAGTAGTTGTCTCCTGAGCGGGAGAGACCCTCGATGACGTTCTTCGCAGAACCATCTTTCAAAGAGTGTTGTAGATAGACCAGTTTTTCGGAGTCTGAGAGTGAAGAGCGGTCGTGTACAGAGACACGGAACTGTTCCCAAAAGCAACGCCAGTTCAGGAGATTTCCGTCAAAGGTGGGAACGTCGAGTTTTGGGAGCTTGACCCCTTTGCTGTCGGGAGCGGGGAGAGAAGAGGCCGTAGATGGAGAAGTGGAGGAAGAAAGTTTCTTCTTGATTTCAACAAAAGAATCGAAAACTTGCTTCTCGAGGGAAGCTAGCTCGGATGCTAGACCGTCAGACTCAGCCAGTTCAAGTGTTAGGAGAACACTACGTGTTTCGGAGAGATCTCCTTTGAGGTCGATCAATTGCTCCTGGTATTGATGTAGTCGATGCACATCGTCGGAGCCTTCACCAAGTGCACCAACGGCAGTGGAGACATCGGACAAGGTTTTCCTAACGTGTGCAAGTCTGCGTGCGGCAATCTTATGGGGAGTTGTGTCGGAGGAGGAGCAGGCAGTAATTAATTGTTTTATACGTACTGCGAGCTCGGCGACGAGATCGTCATGTTCATCTAGTACGTCTTGTTCTCTGGCCAGTGAATCCTCGCTGTCAGTTAGGTCCACGATGTTGTGGTGATGAGCTCGAAAATCCGCGTCCAGAGTGTCCAGTTTCTGTTGCATTCTTTGAGCGTGGTCGATTGTTGCTGGTTGACTGACGTCAGCTTCGAGATCCTTCAGACGAGTAGACAAACGGGTGATAGATGCTTTGGCAACGCCTCTTCTTCTCGAGAGGGCACGTTCGGTTTCCTCGGCCATCGTAGAGACGCACGTGGGGAACCGGAGACGAAAACCAACGAGTGAAGCGGCTAACCGTGAGCGTACCAAACGAATATCCTGGTCAGCAGGTGTATCCGGCTCGAAGGACCAACAAATGATGGAGCTCTCTCTCGCGATTAGCGTGGATAGCGGACTGTATCTTTAGAGCAACTGAACGGCGCCATTTCTCAAAATGTTACTCACTCACACTAAATCTAAATTACCGTACAGAAAATCAAAATAAGCGATACAATGACAATTAAATACGCATTAGAACAGTTTTTTGTGACATACTGTGTACACTTGGTTTTATTTCCTTACTGCACAGTTTTCTGGAGTGTGTTTGTTCCAAATATGTGTTCTGGACATTGTTGCATCTCTCTCTTTATTTTGAAGTAGCAAGCATGGCAGAATTCTGGCGGGTGAATCGCAGGATCATCTCTCTCAGCCAAGACACCGTAGACAGCTAGAAGATCTGATGTGTGTGCTCTAACACAACTTGCTCTCCCTACTACTGCAGTGCTTCCCACACACACGACAGTGTTTGGGAAGTTGAGTGTAATGGAACTCGTGCCCTTCAGAATCCTTCATGTTCCTGTAATTTATGTATATTTATTGGATTGATGTTTCTTTCTCCAAAAAATGCGAAGCTGGTTCTAGTCGGCACTAACTTACGTGTGGATTCATCAGCTGTGGTTTACACTGGGCTTCCCAGGGAAAATTCCCTATCACGGGCAGTGTGAGTAAAAACGAAGGACCTTCCCTTCGCCTGTTCTGCAGTACCTGCGGTAACAGTGTCGGGGCGCTGCGCCGTTCTGTGTTATGGTTTCTAGAGAGTCTGGCTATCTGAGAATGTGTGGAAAGGAAGCTTTTCGGCCCAATGAGCTTCCTTCCCGAAACCGCGCGCGACTACTTGCGCGAGCCCCGTAACTAAGGTAACGGCGCTAAATGAAACAGCCGTGGCGCCGGCCGGCCGGGTCTGTGTGTCTGTCTGTTACTCTTCATTTCAATTCTCGAGTGTTCTTTCGTCTCACACAGGATACCACCTACTGAACGGGCAATGAAGGTCAGGAATTTCGAACGGTTTTCTCTGAAAACGCTCCGTTGCAAAGCTAGAGCGCGAAAAAGCCAATTGCAACGGCTTACTAAGGCCATAGATAGTATAGGAACAGGATTGGATACTTACGTAATTAACACCTCCGACGCGGGACACTCCGTGTTGCCAAGTCGCGGCTGGGTGAACCGTCTTTATCAAGTGGGGAGGATCAGAAATGAAGTAGAGCTTTCTGTTGTCACTCGCATGTATATTGGGAACTTTGTAGAGCACTGTCGATGTCAGGTCGTGGAGTTTCACTAAGCGGCGATTCACGGATGCACCATCATGCACTGAAATGTACTGGATTTGACTTCTCACCCTTCAACACAAGCAGAACTTGAGTTGTATCGGTATAGCTACTCTAGTAGACCTATGACTCTACTACGTATTCCATACCATTTAGAGGCGCACAGCTAAGGCTGAACTAAGATGTAGTCCCACAACAATCTACCATGCAAACGACACCTCGGGGCAAAAACGCTGCACACGGAACTCACCGCGTTGCAGAAGCATTCGAGCCTACCCAGTCCTAGTACAGCAGAGGAAGAGCTTTATAAGGGTGGACTCACTTTTCTCTTAGCTCCCGCTACTCCGAGGATAGAGTCCCACAAACGTCTCAAAAGTCTACACGTACCGCTCAGTACATAACCGCAGCCTCCAACACCTCAGAGGTGACAATCGTGGCAACGTGGAGTGTCTCGCCGGCATTCAACGCGCGCGTATGCGCTCACGTGCTAAGTGTCCAATCCTGTTCCGCTATATTATCTATGCTAAGGCAGGATCGATCCGCGTGCTCTGCGTACCTCGGAGGCACCAGAAGATGCAACGCAGGGCGTGTATCTCCTCTTGCACGCTATCTAGTAGTGTAGTTAGCCCGCGTCAGACTCTCGCGAGCTGGCAAGAGGCCACGAGTAACAGCTAAAACTAAACCCAGCCCATCAATTAGTGGTACGGCGCATGCGTTTACTTACGCGTGCGCGTCACAGTGCGCCGAGGGTTTGTACTTCAGTGCTTTTCATTGTTGTATCACTCATTTTCCGGCCTTGGCCGGCGGTGTATGTCTAAGTCATCATTAATTTTGTAGATTTCGTTGCTCTCGATTGAATATGAATTATCATTGAGTCAATCACTGTGTACTACTCATAAGGTGACACAAGTCATTGAATGCTAAGTGCTTCTTGAGCCATTTCTTGCTGGTGTTGCACCTGTAAATCACTCAGTTTTTGTTTGAGCACATTTAATCCAGACAACACAATATTTTCAGGCTTCAAAGCTCCAGATGACTGCGTGGAAAGAAGACGTGCAGCAAACGATTATTACTATAACACAAAAGGTAACTCTAAAACCTGGCACTGCAGTGCCTCACAAGTTGCAAGATTGACAACACCAACATATTATACTAGCAACAGGAAGGCTTTGATCTCGACTAAGTGCTGAAGTGCCTGGTACTCACTCAGCATTTCTCAACTTAAGGGCAGATGTCAGTACATACTTAGGTCTATGGAATTACATGATGGCCATGACATGGTCTAATTAACCCTCGGCGCGCATGCGCAGCGAGGGTTACTGTAGTTGGTCTGTGTGTGTGTGTGTGTGTCCCCGCGACTATTTTCCCACTACAGGCTACGAGGCGGCCTAAGAGAGATACCAAACGCTTCAGTGCTACGCGAGCCTGAAGAATAAAATTGTGATTTTCCTGAAACGACTGCGTTCGAGAGCGACAAACTGGCACGGTCGCGGACCGAGTTCCGTGGCCCAACCCATCATTAAGCGGTGCGCACGCGTATAGACACGATCAATGCAGTATGCTGGCTCCACCTCGACCTGAGATCCGCTTGCTCTGTGAACCTTCGAGGCACAAAAAGCCACAGCGAAGGGCGTGTATCGACTCCCGCATGCTATCTACTACTGCAGCTAGCCCGTGTCAGATTCTCCGCTAGCTACTAGCGGGAGACTGCGCCAATAGCCCAGCCCACCATTAGCGATACCGCTCATGCGCAGTTCGCCGAGGGTTTGCACTTCAGTGCTTTTCATTATCTTCATGTGATGCATTAACACTGTAATCAATTCTAGTATTTACTGTCCCAGGAAATCAACCATTCATATCTTAGTTATTGGAACTACTGCTACTGGCATGGGTTAGTGGTCTCTAACGGACCTTTCCCTGACAAAAATTTTTTTACTTCCGCTGGGAAAGAAAGTGTGCTTTAATCCCATCACAATTGTTTTATTGAGGGTTATTGTTTTTCTGTTGGTTCATGGTAGTTACAAATGAGAGGTAGTTTATCCAACCCGAGTTTGACCTAAATATCTTCAATAGGCAAGCAAATGTAGTCGTCTAAATCCAAGAATTATTTTCACTAACTACGGTAGTACTTGTATATAAGAGTTATGCCCATACATCTGAGATGGACTGATCCAGCATGTACCTAGGAAATAGCTTTAATCGGTAATTGGTTAGTTCAAAAAAGTAAATTCTTCTTCTTCTTGTTGTTCCAACAACCAAAAATAGCCCCAAACCATGTGCAAACTACGTAGTTAATGCCAATTACCACAATGATAAATATAACTTTGTACACTTATGTAACTCATTATAATGTAAACATTACAAGTTACAAGTTTGTTAACAACAACAAACAGCCAGCAAAAAAACTTGTAAACTTTGTTTGTGTCTTTATGGTGGGTCCACTAGCAATGAAACTTTGTACACTTACGTACAATGATAAGAGTTAATTAACACAAACAAACAGCTTCTGGCAATAAAACTTGTAAATGGCATCTTGCCTATAATTTTGCTTATGGTGGGTCCTTTAACAATGAACCTTGGACAACTGATGTTCCATGATAAAAACAGAAATTACACGTCTGTTAAGAATCCTCAGGAAAAAACTTGTTTGTGCTCATAATAATTGCTTAGGCTGAGTCCTCTAACAACGAAACTCACCTGATGCGTAACAAGCAGGCAGAGGTTTTGCAATGGAGCGCCTCTGTTGTACCCTCGGTTAGGCACCAAAAAATTGCCATTGGAAGAGGACACACCAACATATACACATAGTGACATCGTGCTACAGGATAAGATCCAACAAGGCTCCTAGAGTTTCAAAGCATTTTTTATATTACTTATGCAAAGCACTGATACCTTATACAGATATTAATTGCAGAAACTAAACATGAAATTGTGTCGCTACTCCCCTAATATTAAGGGTTTACAAGCAAATTTATGGTGTTAAATTCTTAGATAGTGATGCATTTGCAACTCCCACCTCCACATTGAAAAAGAACTTGCTGGGTTGCCCTCTGTAATCATAGGGTGCTTGTGCTACAGTAGCGACAAAGAAACACATGAATTCATGCACATTATTGACCTCACCAACATGTTCTTCTAATTCTGAATATTCACTTTTTGGCCTACAGCAAAAGAATGATTTCACGTACACAGTAGTAGACAAAAATATTTCTGTTTCATTCTGTCCATATTTAAATGGTCAGTGTATAGCCGTTATAAGAAACTTGTTGTGATTAGCAAATGCGCAGCATGGAAAAATTAATTGTTGTTGATGGTGGTTAGGCCTACTATAAAGTAGGCTTGAAAGCCAGGCAGCTGCATTCGAGTCTGTTATATTGGGAAGGCAAAGTGTATCTTTAGGTGTCCTTCTAGGAATGCAGAGATTACATACAAAAGCACTGCAGTGCAAACCCTCGGCGCATTGTGACGCTCATGCGTACGTAAACGTGCGCCGTACCACTAATTGATGGGCTGGGTTTAGTTTTAGCTGTTACTCGTGGTCTCTTGCCAGCTCGCGCAGAGTCTGACGCGGGCGAACTACGTACACTACTAGATAGCATGCGAGAGGCGATACACGCCCTGCGTTGCATCTTCTGGTGGCTCCAAGGTACGCAGAGCACGCGGATCGATCAGACCGTGGTAAGCCGTCCCGTCCGCATATTGGCTTTTTCGCGCTCTAGCTTTGCAACGGAGCAGTTTCATACAAAATCGTTCGAAATTTCTGACCTTCATTGCCCGTTAAGTAGGTCGTATCATTTGTGAGACGAACAAACACCCGAGAAGTGAGTGTAGAGTAACAGACACACTGAGACACACAGACCCAACTACCGTACCCTCGCTGTGCATGCACGCCGAGGGTGAATTGCCCTTCCGCGTCCACATGCGTGCTCGAGGCATTCTTCAGAGCAAGGCGGAAGTTGGACGACACCACGTGGAGATTCCACCCCCCTACAGGGTCGTCGACAACCTCTATGCTCAACGACGGGTAGGGCTCTACCGCTGTATGTACATATTACATGGATTGATACGTTAAAAGGGTGTGGGGATAAGAAGTGTGTTATATATGGGTGCCATGACGATTTTTACTTCCCACCCATTATACGGCAATCGATTGCGTAGCCTTAGGCCTCAACCTTGCACCACACATCTAGCAAAAGCGCTAGTGATTTTACACCTTAAACTACATATGCTCCTACAATAGATGTATAATACATCTATGTAGCCACTGAGCCAAGACCAGTAGCTGACATTGATTGAAGCCCTAAGAACAGCAGCAATCTCATTCTCAGGCACCCCTGCCCGTATGTACGACATAGGTTTAAAGTGTCAGAGGAGCAGGTCCTCTCCCTAGTCAGGTTCCAAGGTATCAAAGAACGTTGTATCGTGCAGTTGCCTAATACACTCACTGCTCTGGGAGCGTGCAGTTACTCCACGTGTTCCTTGCATTTATTGACTTTTTGCTGTGTGACCCAATTAAAACATTATGATGAAACAGGCATAACTGTAGTTCATAAGCCTCGCATAGTTTTTCCAAACGAAACACCTGTAATCCCTCACTAGTAGTGAAAATTTGTTGTGTGTGTTTCGGCAAGTGGGCACGAAATTCCTTCATAGTGTCAGGACCTCAGACTTTAAATTTCTTAGTACGAGAAAAAGATTTAGAGAGGGCTATCACGCGAATGACCCTCAGTACGAGCACTGGGTTAATTAAGGACACCTACCCTGGGTCTTCTGATTCAGAGTCAATGAAGATACATATCAGCCAGTCTGTCTCAACTGTGTCCTCTGCTGATCTCAGTGATATATGTGAAGTGCATACCAAGAAAACTGTTGCTTCTGAAGTTACAGTTTCAGGGATAATATACATGGCAGGCGTAGAATCATCCCTATGTGACAATAACTGAATACAACTGAAGAGCTGTTGATAAAGCGAGAGGCATAATGTTGCCAAGTTCACTATCAAAGTGTATCCATATTCTTGGAACATCATAGCCTCTCTTCGTAGTCGAGGTTTGTGTGATTGACAAATGCTTCATAGCGCACCCGACGTTCCACAAGAAGCTCTTGTACAAAGACATGCCGCAGCTTTGCGGCCACAGCTTCGACTGTTAGCTCTGCATGATTTTCCAAACCAGCAAGGGTGAGAGAATGTTTCCATGTTATTAAGTCATATAGTAGATCCATGGGATATGCCGAGAAGAAGCAGTCACCATCAGGAGGGGCCAATACCAGTGTTAATGAGAGCTTCTGTTTGAGTAGGTCCATGTATATCCTTTCGTCCAGCAAAAATCTAGCCAAGAAACACTTTGAAATCAAATCATCCCTGTCCTGTTTCACTCTCCCCAACTAATATTGGAATAGGACATGCATCATATATCTTGCTCATAGTGCACTGCCACTATACCAGCAGCAACAGCAAACAGCAAACAGACCTAAAATAGAATTTGTTACACAAATTTTACCTTTGTGCTAAATTTACTTGAAATATCTCTTGCATCACTTGCAGAAGATTGGACAGTGGTGCTGCAGACTGAAGTAGACGGGCAATGCTGCACTGCAAATCTATGGTGTTGTGCTGATTTTGTTTCACCAAGCTCAATGCCAATTGGTGGCCAGGCAAACTTTGCACAATTTTCAGGGATTTCTTGGCCATTTTCGTCCATAAACAGGTGCTTATTCAGTGCCCAAACCCCCTCAAGCTGCCTACCAGCACAGATGACAGCAAGCTTGACTTTTCCCGGGTCATTAAAGGGAAATATCTTTCTCCAACAAATGGTGGAATTGTGCAAGATCTTTGTCCAAGAGGAACACCCAAGCACCAAACGTCATTCGGATTTGTTAGAAAAAATATTGCCGCAGGAGTAGCTCCTCAAACGCATTGCCTATAAAACCAAAGAACTATATTTACTGCTGTAAAAGCAAATAATCATTCTACCTTCGCTGTCCATCGCCTTTACGCGTGACCCATGCGAAGTAGACAGCATTGTCTCCATCGACATACACTTCTAATTACAGTAAAATATCCCTTTCGCCGACACTGTACCAAATGTGCACGTCCTCCCATCCACTCTGTATTACTACAGAAAACATACCCGCGTCATTCCCTGCACTGTCATGATATTGATACATACCTCTCGTGCTTGCACCTGCGTCTGCGCTTGAACAGTTCCCTGCAATATATCTCCAGAAGACTGATCCTTCTCGGAGGTAAAACTAACACAGTTCTTGATGATGTCGCGTCGGTCGACCACATGGTGGACGTGAGACACATGAGCTTGCTCAGCTTAGCCTCGGAACCTTCCCCGTTCATGCGGTGTATATATAAATGTACGTGTGAGCATGCGCGGAATAATTGTGTGTTGGCGATCTCCGCAAAGAACGGAGAAGACCTGGGTTCTGAGAGCCCGGCTAGGCTCAGACAGCTAGCTAGTTCGGCCTCTGGGTGATGCCCGCCCCGAAAGCTCGCTCGGTACGTGCGACAAAATTCTCGCGCATGCGGATTTATAGTGGGAGAGGAGACTAGGGAGACACTAGGTGGAGACCAGGGGGACTAGGGGAGACTTGTAGAGAGCAGGGAAACCAGTAGAGACCGAGGGAGATTAGTGGAGACCTGTAGAGACATGGGAGAGTAGGAGAGACCAGTAGAGACCAGGGAGACTAGTGGAGCCCAGTAGAGACCTGCGAGACCAGATGCTAAGACCAGGGAGACAGGTAGAGACCAGAAAAGTCAGGAGACCAGTGGAGACCAGGGAGACTAAGGAGAGACCAGGGAGACTATGAGAGACCGGGGAGACTAAGGAGAGACCAGGGAGACTAGGAGAGACCAGGGAGACTAAGGAGAGACCAGGGAGACTAGTAGAGACCAGGGAGACCATGGAGAGACCAGGGAGATCAGTAGAGACCAGGGAGACCATGGAGACTAGGGGAGACCAGGGAGTGACCACAAACAATGCATTAAAAATAGTTTGATGAGCAAGCATATTTTGTAAGGTTTACACCAAGTAACAACCAATTAGACGTTGGTATGCATAATATGCTTTGATGTAATGTGATAAACACTAGCACGTAGCAACCTATGCATAACTAAATTTATGATCTGCCTCCTCGTAGTCAGTCTTGGATGATGCAATAGTCACCTCGGCTCCGCTTTGGTCACTATTGCATCATCCAAGACCTCCTACACGGCATTAAAATATCGTAGTACTTCTGCTCAGGTGCTTATCCTATACGAAGATGATGAAAAACTTTCCCTATCATAGCCCCAGACGCTCGGTACCATGCCCATCCCCACATTGGCGCGTCGTAAACGCGCACGTGCAGACACCACTGCACGCAGACCATCACGCACACAACCATGAGTCACTATCGCACGTCTTTGCCACTTCACACAATCTTTCACAGAGATATACGTAATAGTTAGTGGAGAGAAGTAAATAAAAATCCTGAAAGGTTTTAAAAAAAGAGGCATATTAAAGATAGGGATGGGATACATGAAGATTTGAGCATGCTGACACCCCCGAACCTTGAGCACGCTGACACCCCAGACCCTATCATACAATCCCTATAGGTGAAGCATTCACTATTGCATGTCAAGACCTATAGCTTTAAAATACAAAAAAGTCATGCTAGGATTTTGAGTTCCAAGTTTTGGCTCGGTACTGGCCTTGACCAGAAGGAGTGGGGAGGGGCCTAGGCTCCAAACCACGAATGTCTGGAATGGTTAGCACCTACCAGTGGCAAAGTCTTGTGGGGATGAATCTCATTAGTTCAGAACCACAAGCGCTGCACTCCTGGTAGCCTTTATAAACTCGTGATGCCAGAGAGAGGTTACCTATGCTCTTCTGATGGGGCCAACAAGCCCGAAACAGCTGTCCAGAGCTCTGCCTCTTTTTTCTCTTGCCATCACATGGTCTAATATCTTCATTTGGATGCACTGGCAGGATATGGGTGCTTGCTGGCTTCATTGCCGCGGCCCAATCTGATATGCCAGGATTTTGAGTTCCGAGTTTTGGCTCGGTACTGGCCTTGACCAGCAGGAGTGGGGAGGGGCTTAGGCTCCAAACCACGAATGTCTGGGATGGTTAGCACCTACCAGTGGCAAAGCCTTGTCGGGATGAATCTCATTAGTTCAGAACCACAAGCACTGCGTTCTTGGTAGCCTTTATAAACTCGTGATGCCAGAGAGAGAAGTTACGGTATACTCTGCTGATTAGGGCCAACAAGCCCAAAACAGCTGCCCAGAGCTCTGCCTCTTTTTTCTCTTGGCATCACATGGTCTAATATCTTCATGCTACTGACTAACCAACACCGTTATAGAGTCCAAGAGTTTGAGTGGCACCAGGCAACAATATAGGGATTGTGGTGGGTAGGGGGAGTCAGGGTGCTCAAATCTGTTCGTTAACCATTTGTATGATGACTGAGAGTAAGATCATAGATAATATAGCGGAACAACTATCTATGGTAAGATCAAAGGAATTCCAGCCAGTCCAAACAACGTACCCGTGCTTCCTGCTGAGTTTACGGGTAGTTACCCTCGGCGCGCATGCGCAGCGAGGGTACTGTAGTTGGGTATGTCTGTGTGTGTGTGTGTGTCTGTTACTCTCAATCTCACTTCACGAGTGTCTGTTCGTCTCACAAAGGATACGACCTACTTAACGGGCAATGAAGGTCAGAAAATATGTGGGATTTTCTCTGAAACTGCTCCGTTGCAGAGCTAGAGCGTGAAAAAGCCAATATGCAAATACACAACGGACGGTGCGGCTAACTACGGCATAATCGCTCCGCGTGCTCTGCGTACCTCGGAGGCACCAGAAGATGCAACGCAGGGCGTGTATCGCCTCTTGCATCCCATCTAGTAGTGTAGTTAGCCAGCGTCAGACTCTGCGCTAGCTGGCAAGAGACCACGAGTAACAGCTAAACTAAACCCAGCCCATCAATTAGTGGTACTGCGCATGCGTTTACTTACGCGTGCGCGTCACAATACGTCGAGGGTTTGCACTTCAGTGCTTTTCATTGGGTCTGTCTGTCTGTGTGTCTGTCTGTTACTCGTCATCTCACTTCTCGAGTGTTCGTTCGTCTCACAAAGGATACCACCTACTGAACGGGCAATGAAGGTCAGACAATATGTGGGGTTTTCTCTGAAACTGCTCCGTTGCAGAGCTAGAGCGCGAAAAAGCCAATATGCAAATAGGCAACGGACGGGATGGCTTACCGCGGTCTGATCGATCCGCGTGCTCTGCGTACCTCAGAGGCACCAGAAGATGCAACGCAGGGCGTGTATCGCCTCTCGCATGCTATCTAGTAGTGTAGTTAGCCCGCGTCAGACTCTGCGCGAGCTGGCAAGAGACCACGAGTAACAGCTAAAACTAAACCCAGCCCATCAATTAGTGGTACATTTACTTACGCGTGCGCGTCACAATGCGCCGAGGGTTTGCACTTCAGTGCTTTTCATTGGGTCTGTCTGTCTGTTTGTCTGTCTGTTAGTCTACATCTCACTCCTCGAACGTCTGTTCATCCCAGAAACGATACCATCTACCCAATGGGCGACGAAGGTCAGAAAATAAAGGCGGTTTCTCTGAAAATGCTCCGTTGCAAAGCTAGAGCGCGAAAAAGCTTATATGCAAATACGCAACGGACGGGATGGCTTACAGCGGTCGTGCTCTGCGTATATACTTCGGAGGCACCAGAAGATGCAACACAGGGCGTGTATCGCCTCTCGCATGCTATCTAGTAGTGTAGTTAGCCCGCGTCAGACTGCGCGAGCTGGCAAGAGACCACGAGTAACAGCTAAAATAAACCCAGCCCATCAATTAGTGGTACGGCGCATGCGTTATACCATAAAGAGGCCATATGATTTCCCCATACTTTAGCTGTATGTCAACTCATTTGCATAAACCACAGTGGGTATATATGGTAGTTATACGATAGTAGGAAATCGGCAAGCGTGTAATGCAATTGGGGGGCTTTTACACTCTTTGTGTGCTGCTGCTGCTGTTTCTTTACCAGAAGGGAGTGTTTTCAGGCCAGAAACTGCTCTAGTATATACGCGGTCTGAAAACTAGCGAAAGCGGCTTCCTGACGCGTAGGTTCCCGTAGACTGGAACAGTATGTGACTTTCAGCGCTCTTGCTACTGTATTCGAGAGTGCTGGGTATAGCGGGAGAGAAAGCGAGCCAGAGCGGCAGCTACAAAACTCGTGTGGAGCTAAAGTATAGCTTTGACGTACCTGTAACGTTGAACTCTCGAGGGATAAATGACCATGGCTTCTGCACAACCGCCCAGCTTGACCAAACTAAAGCACTTATTGCAGCTGTCTCTCTCCCGATCGATCGCTTAGCTATAGCTCTCGCCGTACACTCGAGGGTGTGCGTTAAAAAGAGAAAGCTTTTGCGCAATCTCATTGGTCAGAGCCTTACTGCCGGATGTCACACGTTATACGATGGCTTTGCTTGTGGTTTACTGGTTGTACACTCGTGGCTTCAGTTTTGATAGACCACTCGGGCTACGCCCTCGTGCCCTATCAAAACTGGCCACTCGTGTAAAACCAGTAAACCACGCGCCGCCATCGTATAACGGCTATACGTATCCCATCCCTATTGTGTCTCCCTTTATTTTTATACTATCCCTATATGCCTCTAAAATCACAGGATTTTAAATTTACTTGTATACTAAGTATTACCGCTATCAGCAACATGAGTCAAGAAACCAGCCCCACATGTCAGTGATGTGTTGAATGGTGAAGGTGAAGTTTTGACTAGTCATGCAGAAGAGGTGTCAGACAGTGAAAAAACATAATGATGAGTTTGACTGTGCAGGTTCTGTACTTGTAAAGCTTCCGTTTACATTCGAACGTGGTTCGTGGTGTTAGGGTTGTCATTGAAGGGTAGGGCTAAACATGGGACACTGTCCCAAGGGTTAAATGCATTTATTCCTGAGTATATAGCCCACGAGCAAAAGAATATTGCAGAACTTAGGGCTATAACGTGAAACACAAAGTAAATGTTTTTTGATAAGGAGTTAGTGTCCTGTAAAGTGAGTCCAATAATGAAAAATATGACAAGGGATAGCATCATCAGAACCAAAAGGTCCAGAGTGTAGTGAATGAATGTTTTCTGTGGGACATGGGCTTTACTGCCTAATATTTTGTACCTTTGTGTCGTTTTCGTAAGTTTGGGGTGAGTTTTGTGTAATATTATGGGTGTCCCATGTGTTTCTTGTAAGACAAACAGTAAAAGGTTTTATATGTATATTATGTGCAAACACAGTGCAAAAAACATGAGTAAATAAAACTTGAGGGTGTCAATGTTAGATAGTAAAATGTTGTGTCTCATGACGGTGGCGTCTGTTGTATGTACAGTACACAGAAGTATAGTGTACAACTACATATACACTCTTGTAAGAAGTGTGCTGCATGCGCAGGGAGGGTTATGATACTTGGTCTGTGTGTCTTTCTGCAGCTATTCTGGCAGCATAATATACAGGCTATGAGGTGGCCCATTAGTGATACCAACGGCTTCAGCCTGAAAAATGAAATGGCGATTTTCCTGAAATGACTGCGTTCAAGAGATATATATGCCCAGAAAACAAGCGAAAAAGTCAATGTACTGGCATACCGTGAACTGATCCGGTTGCTCTGTGTATCTTGGAGGCAAAGGCACAACAAAGGGCGTGTATCGACTCACACATGCTATCTACTAGTGTAGAGAGCCCGTGTCAGACTCTCCACGAGTTACAGTATGAGTCACAAAAAAGTAAACGAAAGTAACGTTACTTGCGAAGTTACTTACGCGTTAGTAACTATCTAGTAACCTTTAGTAACTTTCAAGTCACTGTAAGGTTACTCAGGAGTAACTCTGAAGTCACTGTAAAGTTACCGTGTAGTAACTTTCTAGTCACTGTAAGGTTACCGTGGAGTAACGCTGAAGTAACAAGGTCTTTAGCGCTGGCCCTTAGCTCTGTCCCCTTACTGTGAACTTTTCTTTGGTTGCTTTCGGTCTACACACGGCTAGCTCCACTGGGTAATGCGGCCGCGCCTTCCAGTTCGCGACCGACGGCCTAGCGGTGGCTCTAGCGCGACTCTGCAGCGCGTGCTTCCGGGTCGAGAGGGCGTGGCTGAGCTGGGCCGGGCCGGGCCGGCCAGCCGCGTGGTTCTTCGCACGCGTCTTCCCGAGCAATCGGGCAGCGCTGTACCGTCTGCTGGGGAGCGACATGTAGCCGGAGGATCTACAGCGGACACTCAGACCGTAAGCTACCCATTCTTCCGTGAAGATTGGCTGAGTGTGATGCGTGGAACATGGGCCGCTTTGGTAACGTTGGTGTACCGCCAAGGTTACTTTCAGCTTGCTTCGAAACTTACACGCTCAGGTCACTAGTTGGTAACTCTGAAGTTACGCTCGGGTTACTAGTTAGTTACGTTCAGGTTACTCCCAATCGGCATTGACGGCACCTTGGATTCAGTGCTCGCAAATAAGTGGGCGTGGCACCCGGAAGTCATGTGACTGCAAATCCAGCCTCTCATGCGTCTCTACACATTATTGCGCAGCATGATATATACTGCGTCTTCTTTAGTCACCAAAACTAATGTCGCGTCTTTACATTTTTTGTGCAGCGCGATAAAGTGGCGTCTTATAATATAATGCCGCGTCTTTACTACGCCTTCCATTTGGCGGTGAATACGAATATTGGCGGGAGATCGTTAGGATATCCGATCGTTCTTCTGTGTGCAAGATGGCTTTACTAGAAATTGGCCCTGTCGTGTTTGGTGGAACACCTGGGATTATCCAGTTTTATGCGGACTCATCACCTGCTAGCAACGCAGCAGAACTGCAGCCGCTATAGCGTAGCTATGCGAGACAGACCAAGAGCAGACGTTAGTCAAAAGTGGCTGCTCCTTTTGCACCTCTGGTCACGGGAGTATGCTGTTACTCGTGTGTCGGAGGATGACGGAATTGACAGCAGCACAGCAATCAACTAAAAATTGTTTACTAACGTGCACGCCACGTGATGGTTCCTATTCAGTCACATGACTTCCGGGTGCCATGCCCACTCATTTGCGAGCGTTGAATCCAAGGTGCCGTCAATGCCGATTGATCCCTTTCAAGTAACGTAACTTTACGGTAACCTTACTTCGAAGTACCGTTACTTTCGTTTACTTTTTTGTGACTCATACTGTACTAGCGAGTAAACGCATACTCATAGCCCAGCCCATCAATTAGCGGTAGCGGTACCGCATATATGCAGTGCGTTTAGGGTTTGCACTTTGGTACTTTTAAACCACAACACATTGTTACTAGTGCTTATTGTCTTTACGTAAGCATACCAGTCTTCTGGCTTGGGGTAGGTTGTGTGTCGCAGTGCATTATCTGGATCATATTCAAATGCCACTCCTGCCGTTGGATTCCATTTTGCATGCTCCTTGCCAAATCCCTGAAAGTAAGAAACAAGGGATTTAATGAGGTACAAATTTAGATTTTGAAGGTAATAGGAAAGAGGATTTGTTGGCAGAAGGACAAAGGGTAGGAGGAGGGGATAACAGTGCTGAGGAATAGTGCTGGGGCCTGGGGTGCCAGTGACTAGTAAAAAGGGCAAGCTAGAGGTGTTAAAGAGGCATTATGTACAGTTGGGGACCTGTAGTGGTAGAGACAGCTTTGATGACAGTTGGAAGGAAGAAGTGGATAAAAAGTGTGTGAGCATCCAGAGGAAAATGAATTGGATAGGGAAATCGATTTTGAGGAGATTGGCACAATCTGGCACAATCTGTTCCCGCATGCGAAAATATCCGTAAAATCTACGTAACATATATCGTTCTCACATAGGCTCCAATTCTGCAGAGATCGTTTACCAAGCTTATTTTTGAACTAAAAAACATGGCAAATGCGCAGCAAAAGATGTGGCTCACTTGGTAGCATGCTTATCTCATCTGCAGCCTTTCACAGAAGGCTGTGTAGGTCAGTCTTCCTCAACTTTGCTTACATGGAACCCTTCTCTAGTGAGCGCGCGCGTCTCCGCCGAGGGTTTGCATTTTTCATTTCACTAGTACTGATGCATGGGATGTGCATATCAAGAATATGTTAGACAATGATATTAATTTGAGTGCTTGCAGGTTGTGGCGGTGACATTAGAATATGGGAGGAAGCCAATAAGACTCAGGCAGCTGAGTTAGAGCCCTTGATGCTACGGGATAGTATCAATGAGAGGGAAATTATACGGTTTGAAGAGGGCAAAGTAAAGCTACCACTGTACAAGACATTCAACAAGGTCGTAGAGTTTAGTAGGGCAAGTGATGCTGGGTCTAGGTTTAAGTTCAGGTCAGGCACGCATGGACTAAAAGGCAGGGGTTCCTGTTGTGTGATGAGTGTGAAAGTGTGAGTTATGTGTTGTGGGAGTGTCCAGCATATAGTAGTCTAAGGAGCAATTTCTTAGTTGCACTGCAGGGGGTGCTTGGGGATGGGTTTGAGCATTTCCAGTCACTCGATACTTTTAGGAAAGCACCCTATATTTTGGGTAGTGAGCAGTGGGATGATAAATTTGGTTCTCTGCTTGACTTTGTTAAGGGTTTTATATTAGATGTTTGGTAGCTAAGAAAGGTTTGGTTATACGGCGATAATTCCAGCGTTCAACAGTCCCAGTCTCTGATTGCATCTGGGGAACTGCAGGGTGTCACTGGTGGGTTAAGGTTCATGGGAGGTGAGACAGACACCTGTGGGTGTATGTTCGTTTGTTAATGCAGTGCTCTGGGTGCGTGGTTGATGCCCTAGTGCTATGGCTGCCACCTCAGTATTATTACTCGTAGGCTAATGCAAGGGAGTTTTGGCGAGGGGAGTGAGAACACAATGACCATATCTGCACGAGCTACCCTAGCCTACTTAAAATTTGCACCTTCGAACAACGAAGATTGGAAAGAGGTACAGCCTCGGTCAGGCAGCGAATGCCGTCTAATGGACAAGCGACGTGATTTCTCACGCTGGCTAGATATCGCGCATCTAGGTGGCATCGTGTAAAAATGTTGAATAAACACAAGCGTGTAATCCAAACGCATTTGTGAAACGAACAAACATTCGAGGAGTGAGATGTAGAGTAACAGACAGACAGACACACACACAGACCAACTACCATACACTCGCTGTGCATGCGCGCTGAGGGTAATGAGAGGGAGCACAACTACAACATACTCTCAGAAATCTTGTGGAATCTCTAACAGGTCCTCCACCTCTGACCCTTCCTCCGTTCTTCCCGTATGGGCTGACCATTTCTCAAATCTCAGCACTTCTCACCTCTTACCAATGGCTCCCTTCAGGAAATCTCGAACACCATCCCAGAAGTAGAGATAGCAACCCTGGTAGAAGAGGAAAGTATTCTCGACGTGTCCTTTCTGCCAAAAGAAGTTGATGCTGCACTCAACCGCCTCAAACGTAGCAGCTCTGCGGGCTCTCTCTCCCCACAGCACCTCATTTATGTTGGCCCACTTCTCAAGTCCTGGTGTTCGATGCTATTGTGAATTTAGAAGCAATTCCCTCTCAGTTCAAAACGGGCATCATCATTCCCATCTACAAGGGCAAGGGGAAGGACCCCCCCTCCTACCTGGAAGCTACAGAGGAATAACCCTTACCTCAGTTATTGCCAAACCCTTTGAACATCTTCTTCTAGACAGTATGCTTCCTGTCCTGAGTGATAACTGTACACCCCATCTGAATCAAACAGCATACCAGCGTGGTGTTTCTAGTGCCGATGCAACATTCTCCTGTCAAGAGACCATCTCAAAATTCATTCGTGATGGGGACTCCGTTTATTCATGTTTCTATGACCTCGCTTCTGCCTTCGATACTGTTGAGTACCCTGTTCTCCTCAGTCATCTAAAGAAAGCAGGAGTCTCCCGGAATGCCTGGCGCCTTATCAAAGATTGGTACACTGACGTCACATCTTCTGTGAGAGTTGGCAGACAGGTTTCCCCCTCTTTTTCTGTCAGTCATGGGGTTCGTCAGGGCTCCGTCCTTTCACCCACACTCTTCCTGCTGGTTATGGACCCAATTCTCCTGGAGCTGAGCAAGAGATCCAGTGGCCCTTCTGTCTGTGGTCTCTACCTTGGGGCTTTCTCCCATGCGGACGATATTCAAACACTCCCCACCAACATTTTTCTGACTGCAAGCTACAGATGGTGCTCGTCAGTAAGTATGCCTCCTCTCAAGGCCTAGCTCTCAATGTCAATAAATGTGAAGCTTCCATTTCTCCTTCTCTTCCAGCCGACTTCACCCACATCGGCACAGGAGACCTGCTGTTTCCTCTTTCCTCTTCTGTCAAATGCTTGGGAGCATGGTGGTCTCCCAGTCTATCGTGCACTAAGTGGGTTGAAGAAAACATCAAGAAGGCTTTGCAAGAGGCAGCGCGGTCTTCCACGGTACTCTAAACCCCCTTTCCCAAGAGTATCGTCGAACACTGTGTGTTACCATGCCTACTGTTTGGTGCCGAAACATGGATTTTGACTATTGCAGAAGCTGGAGTCTTTCCAAGCTGAGCTCGCCAAGCGCATCCTTCGGCTACCAACCTTCATCCCTAACAACACTGCCCTCATGGCAGTGGCCGTCTATGAGAGCCAGAATACTTTTCATCAAGCTCTGCTTTCTACTCAAAGTAGTTAATTCTGATCTCTCTCTCTCTCAGTGCTCGTGTTTTTCGCTCCCTCGCCACCTCTGATGTTGAGTTACTGGTTATCACTCGCCAATGTTGTCTCCTCGAGTCCATCTACAAGTCTAACTCCACGACCTCTGTACTAACTAACAGCTTCGGACGAAATTTCATACCACTCCCTGAAGAAAGAAATTCTCCAACTCGACCTGTCTCTACTACTTGCAGATGCCTCTGCACATCCCTCTCAGCAGTATGTCCAAGCTGTTGCATCCAGTAATGATGGGAGCTGGCTGAAGCTATGGGATATGGTTCCGGAGAGGGGTGTCTTCGGCACAACCTGTATTCAAGCTATACTAAGGTTTCTCTCCCTCCACGCCCACTCAGATGGTACATGTCCTGCTCCTAACTGTTCTTTCTACATAGGTTCCGAGTCTCCCTGTGGACACTTTCTGTCGGCCCACACTAGTCTTGATATTTCATTAGATAATTTTATGTATTCCTGTACAAACTTTTCTGTTTCATTATTTTCTTATGGTCATGGTCTTCACGGTGTTTTAAATCTCTATGGAATCACTAATTCACTGCTTTCTCTTGCACTCATCCTATAAAACCAGGGTAATGATTTTTGATTTGAGGGAGCATAGCTTGGGGGCCACCTGTAGCTAAGAGCCGGTGCATCAGGGAAGGCACCTTTGTATCTGAACAGGGCTGTTAGCCAGCTAGAACAACTCTTGGGCTATTACATTGAGTATTGCATTAATTATGGAAGGAAAAGAGATCTAGGATGCCTGTTGGGATGATGTTGTCCTTATTTTGGTTTTTTGATATCTACATTCTAACAAAGCTTCACAATGTTATCTCATTTTCCATCACTATCATGGAGTCTACGCACACTAGGCATGAATGATTTATGGACACAAGGAGGGTCACACGTTTAGTGGGGTAAGGGGTGGCTTATGTTGTGAGGCTCCTTCTATTAGGGGGGAGTGGGCGCAGAATCCGTTAGGACATTAAAATTTATCAGTGTAAATGGACCAGGGGAAGAAGCGTCGTGACGCACGCCGGCCGCACATCCACTCTCAGTGCTGGGCTATTCTATGCTCTAACCCCACCTTCGGCGGAATGGAAAGGGGACACAATAGGGACGAAGCATAGTGCACAAAAATATGAACAAAATTGTGGGCGTTGTGACCCTTCTTGTGTCCATAAATCATTCATGCCTAGTGTGCGTAGACTCCATGATAGTGATGGAAAATGAGATAACATTGTGAAGCTTTGTTAGAATGTAGATATCAAAAAACCAAAATAAGGACAACATCATCCCAACAAGGCATCCTAGATTCTCTTTTCCCTTCCATAATTAATGCAATACTCAATGTAATTAGCCCAAGAGTTGTTCTAGCTGGCTAACAGCCCTGTTCAGATACAAAGGTGCCTTCCCTGATGCACCGGCTCTTAGCTACAGGTGGCCCCCAAGCTATGCTCCCTCAAATCAAAAATCATTACCCTGGTTTTATAGGATGAGTGCAAGAGAAAGCAGTGAATTAGTGATTCCATAGAGATTTAAAACAACTGTGAAGACCATGACCATAAGAAAATAGTGAAACAGAAAAGTTTGTACAGACATTCATAAAATTATCTAATGAAATATCAAGACTAGTGTGGGACAACAGAAAGCATTCACAGGGAGACTCGGAACTAATCTAGAGAACAGTTAGGAGCAAGGCATATACCGTCTGAGTGGGTGTGGAGGGAGAGAAACCTTAGTATAGCTTGAATGCAGGTTGTGCCAAAGACACCCCTCTCCAGAGCCATATCCCATAGCTTCAGCCAGCTCCCATTATTACTGGATTCAACAGCTTGGACATACTGCTGAGAGGGATGTGTAGAGGCATCTGCAAGTAGTAGAGACAGGTCGAGTTGGAGAATTTCTTTCTTCAGGGATTGGTATATACGAAATTTCGTCAGAAGCTGTTAGTACAGAAGTCATGTAGTTAGACTTGTAGATGGACTCGAGGAGACGACGGCATTGACGAGTGATAACCAGTGACTCATCATCAGAGGCGGTGACGGAGCGGAAGACACGAGCACTGAGAATAGATCAGAATTAACTACTTTGAGTAGAAAGCAGAGCTTGATAAGTATTCTGGCTCTGATAGATGGCCACTGCAGAGCCATGAGGGCAGTGTTGTTAGGGGTGAAGGTTGGTAGCCGAAGGATGCGCTTGGCGAGCTCAGCTTGATAGGACTCCAGCTTTTGCAATAGATCAAAATCCACGTTTCGGCACCGAACGGTAGGCATGGTAACACAGTGTTTGACGATACTCTTGGAGGAAAGGGGGTTGAGAGTACCGTGGAAGACCCCGCTGCCTCTTGCAAAGAAGGTGCGTCTCGCTTTCTTGATGTTTTCTTCAACCAACTTAGTCACGATAGAGTGGGAGACCACCATGCTCCCAAGCATTTAACACAAGAGGAAAGAGGAAACAGCAAGCCTCCTGTGCCGATGTGGGTGGAGTCGGCTGGAAGAGAAGGAGAAATGGAAGCTTCACATTTACTGACATTCAGAGCCAGGCCTTGAGAGGAGGCATACTTACTGACGAGCACCATCTGTAGCTTGCAGTCGGAAACCTTGGTGGAGAGTGTTCCAATATCGTTCGCATGGAAGAAGGACCCAAGATAGAGACCACAGACAGAAGGGCTGCAGGATCTCTTGCTCAGCTCCAGGAGAATTGGGTCCATAACCAGCAGGAAGTATGTGGGTGAAAGGACGGAGCCCTGACGAACCCCGTGACTGGCAGAAAAAGAGGGGGAAACCTGTCTGCCAACTCTCACTGAAGATCTGACATCAGTGTACCAATCTATGATGAGGCGTGAGGCTTCCCGGAGACTCCTGCTTTCTTTAGATGACTGAGGAGAACAGGGTACTCAAAGGCAGAAGCGAGGTCATAGAAACATGAATAAACGGAGTCCCCATCACGAGTGAATTTTGAGATGGTCACTTGACAGGAGAACGTTGCATCGGCACTAGAAACGCCACGCTGGTGTGCTGTTTGATTCAGATGGGGTGTATATACAGTTATCACTCAGGACAGGAAGCATACGGTCTAGAAGAAGATGTTCAAAAGTTTTGGAGGTAAGGGTTGTGCTTCTGTAGCTTCTAGGTAGGAGGGGGTCCTTCCCCTTGCCCTTGTAGATGGGAACGATGATGCCCGTTTTGAACTGAGAGGGAATTGCTTCTAAATTCACAATAGCATCGAACACCAGGACTTGAGAAGTGGGCCAACATAAATGAGGTGCTGTGGGGAGAGAGAGCCCGCAGAGCTGCTACGTTTGAGGCGGTTGAGTGCAGCATCAACTTCTTTTTGGCAGAAAGGACACGTCGAGAATACTTTCCTCTTCTACCAGGGTTGCTATCTCTACTTCTGGATGGTGTTCGAGATTTCCTGAGGGAGCCATTGGTAAGTATGGTGAGAAGTGCTGCGATTTGCGAAATGGTCTTAGCCCATACGGGAAGA